AACCAGGGCACCCACCTGCAAGACTGAGAGCACAGGGATACCAAAATGCTTTTTAGTATCACCAGGGCTCCAGCATCTAAATCCAGAGCATCCAGGAGCCATCACATTGGCAAACCCCCCAGTGCTGTCTCCATCCCTTCACTGACCATGGCTTGCTGCAAAGGAGGACACCCAGAAAATACCCCAAAGGTTTCTAGCAGAGGTGTGGATCATGCAAATAGGGCTTTCCTGGGGGAAACCGCGGCTGGGCAAGGAGATTTCAAAGGCTGTTTCACAATGCAGAAGATTAAGGATGAGGAACCCTTTGGGCTGGTCACCACTGGGATCTCCTCCTGCTTGTCCTCAGGATTAGGTATCAGTCAACTGAGTGATGCAAAATCCACCCACAGAGGACTAAGTCAACAGAGAGACAATAGATGTTGATAGATGGGCCTTGTGATTCCCAATTTCAAGCCTTGTGGGACACCTTGGATAAATTGCCCTGCTGCTCCATGCCTCAGTTTCCCCTCCCTATAACACTTCTCTTGTCCTTGGGAAGGGTACTCAGCTAGGAGTGCATGAAGTGCAAGGTCCCTGCTGCTAGGTTGGGCCCTGGGGTCCCATCCTTGGGGCAAACACAGCACTGTTTTTGGGAGTACACTCAGTTAAAGAGTGGATCACCATGGATGGAGAGGGAACAGGCTTTACAAGACGCACTGATACAGCAGTTTGGGGTGGGGGGAGGAAGACATCCATGCAAGCCCAGGGATTCCCAGCCCTATTTTGCAGGTAGAACACCTGTTCAGGGTCACCATGCTGTGCAGGGACCTGACTGGACATCCCAGCCCTGCCTCCCTGCCGGTAGATTGGGGTGTGCTGCCAACTTTCTTCACCCCTGGCCAAATCCTGCACAGCTGCTTGCTGAGAGCTGGGGTGGGATTAAGGCAAGGGACTGATTTGCAAGGCTGTGTCATGAGGATGTCTTCAAACCCAGAACCACGGAGCCAGAGCAGCCCTCTCTAAGCTAGCAAAGGCTCCAGGGGCTTCAGAGCGATCAGGACAGCAGGTTAACACCACGCACTTGACTTTGCATTTTTGGGGAAGGCTAAGTAAAACTGGAGTGTAACTAGCAGAGATACCTGCTGCAGGATTTACCCTAGCTCTTGCTAGAAGCATCCTAAACAAATGAAGTATTTGTAGGGGGACAAAACAAGCCTTTTTAATCACCTCCCGCTCACCTGGGAACAAATCCTGGCTTTGCTGCTTGGGGGATGTTACTCTACAGAAAGGGGATAAAGCAGCCAGGCAGGAGACTGGCAGCTGCCCAGGGTGACCCCAGCAGGGACAGGGGGACATGTGGCACTCACCAGCAGGGCTGGACACTTACTCATCTTGTGGCATGGCTGGCTCCACGGTTTCATAGATGTACCAGTCAGAAACGAGGTCATCAGTGCCGGCAAGGCTGTTGTCCGGCAGAGCATCATGCATCCCATTGGAGCTGTTGGCTGCCATGGCTGTCTCCTTCCCCCCTCCACGGGCTGGAAAGAATGGCAAAAGGCAGCAGGAGGCAGAAAGCAACTGGGCTTTCCCAAGGTGGGTTCTCCTGGGCTCTTGGAAATGCAGGGATGGAGGTGCTGAGCCAAGAGGTTTTATCTTCTCCAGTCACTCCCGCAGCCCTGGGAGGGACTGGAAGCTTTCAAAATCCAGCTGTGCTTCCAAGGATCCAGCTTTTATCTGGACTCGTAGGGAGGGAGAAGGGATGAACCAGCTCCCCCCCCCTCCCCCAGCCAGGCACTCAGGGCACACCTAATCATCCTCCGGCCGCTCCCTGCCCGCCGCGGGATGCTGATAGACTTGGAGCCTTTGTTTGGGTTGTTTAACAGCTTTTTACGCCAACGACTTGAAAACCAGCGCAAGGGTCATGTTTTCAGCTCAGAGGCACTGGCTGGCTGGCAAAGTGGGGATAAGATCTCACTGTGACCCATGTCCCCAGTGTCCCTCTGTGCCATCAGATGCCCCATACAGCATCCAGCCTTCCCCAGCCCTGGGATGAAACCTCAGCCCCTCTCCCTTTGTAGCAATAAAAGGGAAGAAGGATTTGTCGTGGTGCCAGACGCAACAAGCTCTCATTTCTCTTTCTCCCCATTATTTTTTGATGACTTTGGCCCAAACAGCCCCACACCCTCCGCTGCTGTCCCAGAGCTACATTGTACGAGCTGCAGCTGCCTCATCTACCATCGCTATCAGAAAGGCAGTGCTAAATGACGTGCCCAAAGGCATCCCCAAATGCCAGGCGGTGATGGTCAATGCAGCCCCCAAGCCCCAGGAACCAGCCCAGGATCTGGGCACACCTCATCACCAACCCCCCCCAGGGCTACTCGGTGACTCTGAGGGGAGGGGATAGGAAACAGACGACTGAGCCAGCAGCTTTGCTCCAGGCTGCTGTTTGTACAGCTGGTGTTCACAAGAGACCGTGATGGATATAGCATGCCAGCTTCAAAGAGATTCTCTAAATCAGGGCTGTGGCCCTGCACTGTCTCCAGACAGACAAGTGGCACTCGCCACCATGGCCACACTGCCCCATGCCTGATGCTCCACTGGATATCACGGCCCCAGTCAGGTTTTAGGTCCCCTCCAAGGTGTCCCTCTAGGTCAGGACATGAGGCCTGGGACCTTCATCTCCCTTCCCAGAGGGCCAAAACTCAGCTAGAAAGGAGGTCGTCCCTCCCCCCCAGCATTTGGTCCATGTCAGGGTGCCACCACCATCCCACTGCCCACCAGCGCAGGCTCCAGCAGAGGAAGGATAGACCCCACCAGCCCCAGACAAGCATCCAGCTCAGATGGACCCCCGACCACATCCTTGACACACCCAGCACGTCCCAGCTTCAAGGCATCGACTCTCCAGCCATCCCTTGGTTTCGCCTGCGCAGGGAAGCAGCTCTGACCTCACCCCCCAAGAATGCAGCACTCTGTAAAAAGGTAGAAGGAGCCTGTAAAGTTCATGGCAGCGCACACACATCTTCAGGCCCCTTTCCCCTCACATGGGGTCACCGAAGGCT